ACCTATCGGATGTATATATACGTGTCGACAGGTATGCATATATGTGCACATGTATAGACAGGAGTATATATATATATATATATATATATATATACTCGGCGATATACATATACAGAGATACATCTGCATATGTATATATATAGATATATATCTATACATATCTATATACATATATATATATCGACGCAGATACATATAGCATATGAATATATACCGATATATAAGTATACATGCATGCTCACTGACATATATATACACCAGTATATACTCGCTGTCGTAATCAGGTAGCTGGACGGTCACATCCATGTATATATATGCAATGAACATATCGCTCTTGTATCGTTTGATAGTACTAGGTCGATACGAAGCTCTCTACCTCCACCATAAACGAATCCACCCACTCTATAAGCAGCTTCCAAGAGGCTTCTAGGCGATTGTAGGTATTATTGCCGAGTGTGACGGTAATCTGGCGCCTAAGTGCACACCAGAGCTCACGACAGCTGTCCCAATTCTTTCGAAAGTACTTCACAAAAGGATGTTTATCAATGCGAGAAGAAATATCTTCCAGTTCATGATCTGTGACTTCTACACCGACTGAGCCCGACTCCACACCGACTGAGCCCGACTCCACACCGACTACGATACCAGATCGATTATTCGCAGCTGGACCGGCATAACCAATCGACGCAAGATGCACCATGTACTGGAGGCGTTTGTCGTACTCTGCTTCCGTTTTTGCGTAGACAAGTAAGCTCACAACACCGCCAAGTTGCTCTTTCTGAGACCTCGAAAATCCATAGTCAGCTGAAGCAATCTCTTCCCGTAGGTACTTCAGCACGTGGAATTGGCAAAGTAAGACTGTCACCCCAGGAAATGCCTTTTCAAGTACGGACAGTTCTGTGAAATCCTTATCCACCAGCACACATTGAAGTCTTGACCACGCAGGATTGTTCGCTTTGAATTCCTCTATCGCTGTCAACAGGGTTTCATAGCGCTCATTTTGAAGCAGCGCGTGCTGCACAAACTGGCCCTTGCCGAACGTATCGTGTGCCATGAATGAAAAAACTTTATACTTAGACCGGTTCGTCCCGTGCGTTGCGTCAATCATCAGAACTTCAGGAAATGGTCGAATAGTGTTCGCATGTGCTTTGTTTGCAATGTGATGCAAGTCGCAACTTTCTGCGTATCCAATAGCACACAAAACAACAAATGTTAACTTCATGAATTGACATTAGACCTGATAAAAGCATTCACTCTACCTTGCCACCAACGTCGTCCAAGAAAACCCGACCAACGTTCCCTGGCACATCACCGAATTGCTTCATCCACTTCTTAAGCCGCTTGTCAGTGCTTGAAGGCCCATCGCGTTGTTCGCGAGCCTTTAGTTTCTGGACGAGGGTTTGCACATCTTTTGGGGTGGGGTTACTGTCGGTGTGCTTCATTAGGTGGCTGATGATACCAGACTTCTTGACACCTTTTTTCGAAGTAGATCAACTGTAGTTAGCGTTGACTCGTCGAGGATAATGTGTTTCGATGGATGTGAAGAGAAATCCCGGCTTGTCAGACGATGATTGTGCTCTAGTCGACAACGAGTGATCCGCACAGCAAACGTCGTATTCTTTGTATCAACTACCTGGACGCAGACATTAATCTGTAGAGCATATATAGCCACTGTCAGTCAGTGAGCTACCCGATTGACCCCGACTGGACCCGACCAGTCCCGACCAGGCCGACATATATGTACCTGCGCCTTGCAGCCCTGTGCTCGAGTCTCTTGGCGTGGCCGCTTCGTAGCTACAGACTTGTACTCCCCTGAGTGCGTACAAACGAACGTCCTCGAATACTGTTCCCACGATGCTGGTATTTTAGCTGCTTTGACTGTGACTTGCCAATCCTGGCATTGCGCTCTGCCACGCTGGTATGAGAGCGCGCCCTGAATATCTACAAGACAGATAGCACAAAATTAGTAACTCAGCGGGGTCAGACATCCGTTCATTAAATCTTGAATGAATCTCGCATACTTGAAACGTTTGGGCTTCATACGCAACCAGGTACTCGTCGAAGGCCCCCCGCGACGTGAACTCCGCCTTGTTGGGTGGTAATGCCACCACGCGTGTGGGGGGACCACCCTCGCTAGTGCTGCTGGTTAAATCGGTTACATCCAACACACTGAAAGCCTCGGAAGACTCTCCATCACCCGAACCAGCACCGCTCGAAGCGGGTGTTGGGAGCCAGACGTCGTCCTGGGAGTCTTCTCGGGGCGGCTCAGAATCGCTGCTGTCGCTCTCGTCGATCTCGCGCGCGACAGCCCCAGTTAGCGGCCTCTTCTGGACGGCTCGGACGCGGAGATCCATTTCCCCCTCCTGCAGCCTTACGATCGTTACGCTGTTCGAAATTTAGTGGCTGTCAGGCTGAATGGTATACATGGTACACACTGTATACATCGTACGGATGGGAGCGCGTCAAAAATTTGTAGGGGAAGGTTAACTCAGTCGGTCAATATAGTCACTCTCTTAAAATAAAAGTGCTATATATAACTTAGTGTCTTGAGAGGGCGGTAGAACTCATCAATTAGCCAGAAGCATCCTTTAAGGTCAGCGAAAATGTCCGGCAAGCACGAGTTCTGCCCAGGAGAGAAGCGGATGATTGTGAACAGCTACGAGTATTTCAAAAGCCAGAAGGAACAAGGCCTCTTCAAAGGCATCATGACACGCCAACTGGTCTCTGATTGCCTTCCAACACCGTTGACTCCGTGGTTAATGAGAAAAAGAATAACCCAGACACTGATTTTGAGGTATATCAATTATAACTGATATTGTAACATTTCCTTTTTAAACTAATATTTGTACAAAGCCCAGTGAAAACGACAGAGGTCGAAAGCGAGATTATGACCTGACGGATACCTTTTTAATTGTTTTCACCATCCTGCTGGCAGAATTGAATGCTAAATCGACAAGGGCAATCTGCGACCGGGCGATGTGTCATCTTCCTTTTTGACATATGAATTTGATTCTAGACCAATCATATCTGTGTATTTGGCGCGCCTTTCCCCCGAAAATGACAGTGTTCTGAGAAGGCATTTTTAAACGACTGTAGCACCAAAACGGCTGGGAATTGGCTAAAAATTACCACAAAATCATAATCTAAACGCATGATTGCACCCTATATCTAAATGTCGATATAGGTTTTCCTAAATGTAGACCTCTTATGCCTCTCTAGATTCTGGCCCAATGTTCAATGTCGCCTACAATAATACGATACGTGGCATACTTTCCGAACTAAAGGCTGTACAGTACAGCCCTACAAGGATTATTTTGAAGAAGGATGGCAAAGCTCTGCTGGTTTTGAGTCATACATGTAGGCTTAAAAGGCGTCCGATGCTGCGTCGTGCATGCGAACGATGACATATCGGCCACTGCAGCGAAGTGTGGTTGATGGAGAACCAGTTCTCTGAACGGAATGCTGTCGCTCCAAAGACCGGCGCCGAATTCGACGATGGCATGGAGAGCCGATGCCGATCAGCGCTTCGGCGCTCCAACTCGGACACCTCACCATGCAAATCTCTTCACCGCTTCTCCCGCGCGGCGCGGGCCGCGCCACGAAACCGAATGTCTTTGTCCCCCGCCTCCTCTATGCAGGCGGAGTCCGCCTGCATAGAGGAGACTCCGACGCGAAAGGCGGCAGTGCGAGTTGCAGGGGACTTCCCTGAAAGACGACGGCATTGCAGTGTTGCAGCATTGCACACGGTGGACGGGCCAAATACAATTGTGCACAGCGCTCAGCACACGCTGTGCCGACAGGGGGGCGACACACTGCAAAAGGATCGTTTGGTATTAGGCGTGTCGACGCTCAGGAGGAGCATCCACCAAACGCTGCTTGGTTTGAGCGTGCTGCTTTCTCATAGATGGCGAGCAGCGGCGCGACTTTAAAAATGAAAGCCAGCAACGTGAAATTCCCACTTCCGGACGGGTACTTCCCGCCGGTGAAGCTCACGCCGGCCGAGATCGAAGTCTATGAGCAACGCGTGGAGATCATCATGAAAAACGCACTGGCCGAATACAATCTGCACGAGGCGATGGGCGCTCGGCCAGACTACGGGTCTCGATGGAGCGTCGTGGGCAACGTCGAGCACCTCACCGCTATTCGTGAGGTCGATCCGTCCAGGGCAGTCGAGGCCTCACGTATTTTCGGTCGTGTGGACGGCGATTACCGCAACTTCATTGACTTCTTCTACTCGGTCTCAGCACAGGAGGTTTTTGCGGTGAACCAGTTCATGTATGGGTACGCCGTGGATGCCGCGGTGCTGTGCAACATCCACACGAAAGAATCCAACAAGCCCCACCAATACCTGGGCATGAAATGGCTTTGTCTACAGCCTTCGTCGCTCTCACGCAAGCGCGATATGTGCTTCCTTGAATATCTTGTCTACACGAAGGATCTACAGGACCGAGACGTCGGTGTTCGCATCACGCTGCCTCTGATTCTGGACGAGTGTCCACCACTTGCGGATAAGCTGAAAACCCGGCGTATCCACTCGCACACGGTGACCATCGTCCGCCCGACTAATGACGGCGTCGACGCTACTCAGATCTTCTCGACCAGCGAGGTTGACATGTACAAGGGATCCAACTCTTCATCAGCTGCTACTTTCAAGAAACTCATGACCACACTGAGCTCCATGGCATTGTTCGCGGATTCCAAGCGCATCTCGATGCAAGGTATGCTGGATCGCAGCAGTTGGGCACCAAAGAAGGCGCGTGCCAACTGCTCCGTATGCAACCGCAAGTTCTCACCCACGCGACGCCGCCAGCACTGCCGTCTCTGCGGTGAAGTGGCCTGTCGGCGTTGTATGACAATTCGTGATGCCCCAATGCTGGATGATAGCGCTTCTTCGCCTGCTCGTACGTTCCAAATAATGAAAACGATGTTCTGCAAGGCCTGCATGGGTAAGGTTCGGGACTCCGACGCCAAGAGCATCGCGGCTGACAGTCAGGACGAAGGTGCGTCGGATGCCGAATCCATGGGTTGGTTTGGAGATAAGTCTCGTGGCCGAAGTTTTGAGAGCGATGACAACACCGCTATGCTTGGTGGGGCATCGTTTACCTCACTATCGCCGACCAACACCAGCTCAGCTTGCTCAGCACCCCCTCAACGAGAAGATACTGAAGACGAAGAACGTAGCATTGAAGACACGAACATATTGCACGGAAAATTCTCAAGCAGCATCGATTCGGAGGCTCAATCGGAGACGAAGACTAGCGTGTCATCCTCACAAGATGATGAAATCGAGGTCGAGGTAATGGAACCTGTTGCTCCTATGGTGATTGATCTGCGCCACCTCCGGACGATGGCGGGAGCGGAGCGAGTTGTACAGGAGATCGAGGAAGAGGAGATTCGGGCGATGCGGGAATCACTTGCTGCTCTGGACTTCAAGGCCGTCCGACTCGTGGATTCGCCGTCGAACGTAGACAGTGAGTCTGGCAACGGCTTCAACAGCAACAGGAGTGGCAAGCTTCCGCCGATGGAGGAGGATGAAGACGACAAAGACGACGATGAGGCTGACGTTATCGAGATTATTGACGATGAATCGACCGAGATCATCTCCACCACGAGGCAGATCGTGTCGTCTCCGCTGGATGAATCTCCAATGGACAGCGGTGCACTAGCAGAGCAGGTGTTATTCAGCTCAGCACGGTCGAACGTGTCGATCGACCAGCGTCTCCAGGAGCAGGAAGTCCTGTTGAAACGATTGGTGATGGCTGCCAACTCATCGGCCGGCTACTACCCACCAAGCGCGCGTGGACAGCAGAAAACGTTCGAATCATGAGCGAACTGAAACAACTAACGATGACCCCGAGCAGATCTTTATCGGGTAGTCACGTACATCACACGTAGTGTTATTAGGGCCTTCGAGTGCTTGCCATTTTACTGAATCAACGTTTCAGTGGTCTACAATAATTGCACCTAAGAAAAGATTACACCTACACATTCAACTTGTTGTGCTGCGAGTACCCAAGTGACCCCACACAATGCGCAAGATGTGCTTTGTAATTTCAACATGTCAGGTAATATTCGTTGTGTACATGTAGTACATGTAGTACTTTCAACAACAATGCTGTAAGTTCACGCCTCGGAGCTGGTACTTTCAATCCTCTTCAGATTGTCAGCACCAGGACATGCGAACGCGAAGCGTGAAATGACTGGAAGGGTTGAGAAAGGCCAATTAAGAAGCCTCGTTCCGCCGCTGGCGTCAAGAAATGATGCGATGCGAAAGTCTTGATAGCACCTCAGCTTTCTGAAACTGCACCGTGTGCTCAACAAATAAACCACACTTAATTATCCTATCTTGATAACCGAAACGGTATTCATTTTGAAGAATTGCTGCTGTGCCGAACTCGTATCGAGACTCGTTCTTGAAGATTTTCTTCTTCGACGCCGCATAAAAGCACGATAGGCGATCACATGCGTGCGTGGCGACTATCCAATATAGCTGCTGCACAACGTGAGATGGCAAATTTTGCTGTCGGAGCGATCTTGAGCACGTCCTACGGCTGTGGTCTGTCTTGAGCTGCCAGCATCAGTCTCCTCAAGAGATCTTCCTGCTCGGCAATGCATTGGTCGATTGTGCGTGTAGATGCTAACTTGCCCGAGCTGTTGGTTTGCTGTCCGTCTTCGTCGAAGATAGCTCCAGCGTTGATCCCCCGCATCATTTGAGACGCGGACATGAGGTTCGACATGTCGACGCCCATGGGTTTTTGGTTCTTCTCTACAAGATCGCTGCGCTCGTCATCTACAACATCACCGTCGCCGGACGATCGGATCGTTTCAAGCAGTTCAGAATCGGATGACGCGTGACGCAACATCTCATCATTGAAATCTCCAGAATGCTCACCGTCAGGTTTTGTTGGCGCTCCGGAGTCTGCGAACATGCTCAGCACTGCCGGTTTGTCATCGATCTTGCCGTGCGTCCCTGGCGCGAGCAACGTCACGTCCAAGTCCCGCACTTTAGCCACACATACACGGCAGAATTTTGTCTGCACGACATTGAAAGTTTTCTGTGCGCTGTCGTCGTCTTCGCCTCCTTCCCGTGCGCCACGGTAGACCAAACATTGCCGACAGAACACTTCACCGCACAGCCGACAGTGCTGACGACGGCGAGTATGAGTGAAATCGCGTGAACAGAGGCGGCACTCGGAGCGTGACTTATTTTCCACCCAGCAAGTCCGCTTCATGATGCCATGAACCGAAATGAGCTTCGCGTCGACCCACAAGGCCATGCCGTTCATCTTAGACATAAGTCTCTTGAAGTAGAACCCAGGGACGGCGAATCCTACAAAGTCGTTTTGGCTCATCAAAAACAGCTCCGTTGAGCTTGGATCTCCCTCGGTCGGTCGTACAATGGAGACGATGAGCATCTGCATTCGCTTCGTCTTCATCTTGGCAGGTAAAGGTGGACACTCGGGTAGAGTGAGTGGCATATTCACTCGCACCCCGACGTCACGACCGCGCAAGTCCTTTGTGAAAGCCATGTATTCGAGGTAGCACGTATCACGCTTCTTGACAAGCGCAAATGGCTGCAGGCATGTCCACTTGATACCGAGATACAGGTGCGGCTTACCTGACGCACTAGTGTGGATATTTTTCAAGATAGCGGCGTCCACGGCGTTGCCATACATGAACTGGTTCCAGGCGTAGAGCTGGTTTGAGGTTTCAGCATAGAAAAAGTTGATGAAATTGCGGTAGTCCCCGCTGAGGCGGCCGAAGATGCGGCATTGGCATAGAGCTGCGTTGCCATTCTGTCGGACGGTGGTGAGGTCGCCGACTTTGCCCAGCGTCTTCCAGCCCGAGCCATACATAGGGTTCGAGCCCATGGCCTCGTGCACGTCGTAGTCGGCCAGCGCGTTCTTCACCGCAAGCGCCATCTTCTCTTCCAGTTGGAGGACCTCGAGTTTAGATAGCTGGACATTTGGGAAGTAGCCGTCGGGCAGGGGAAAAGCGTTAACTTTGCTGGTTTGGGCAGCAAACATGTTGGACCTGAATAACACACAAATCTGTAATTAGTCGAGGACGCCTCACTGCGAAGAAGCGCATGCACACTACCGGTATTGACGAAGCTCACAAGTCCGTGCCAGGCATCGCGCGAGTTGAATAATGCGTGCTACCCAGCCTTCTCTCCGCAGTGTGGAGTTCGCACGCAGGTGGTGATGTGGACGACCAGATGGGGCCACGGATGAGATGATACCGAGTCTTGGCCCAAGCGTCTCGGCGACCGGATTTATCTTGCGAGATGCGGCATCAACGCACTTGCCTGCATGAATCATGGCATGATGTAGTGAGGGCTTCGCTTACGACGCAAGCACGTGCATTACCCCTGTGCCTCATCGATATAGCACCTAAATACGCGGCACTCATCGGCCTCAATGTTGCATTAGTCCACCGTGGACTCCTACGCTCTCGACTCGAATGGCATAGATTTCGTTCGTGGTCTACCACACACTTTCGAGGAGACTGGCGGCACTTCTCCCGGTACAGTATGTGCATCGTGTACAATTTGTCAAGGCGACGACAGCACCAGCGTAACATGCATGCCTTCAAGTTGTTGTTGATTGGACGGCCCCTTTATTGCGTTAAATGCGTGGTATCACGTATCTATTCTACGTCTATGGAATTGGATGTTAAATCTCTTTGTACTCTGCTCATAGCTTGCTGAGTGGTTGGTTTATTATCACCGCTGTCTTCGCGATGGATGCCTTCGTCTAACTTAGACAGAACGGATTACAGTTCATACACGCCATCGTCGTGGCCCTCGTCGTCTTCGTGAATGCTCTGGCTAACGGACGACGCCTTAGTGCGTGCTTGCGTCTCGGGAGTGAAGCCGCGGCTTGCAGACAGCACCTGTTGCAGAAGCTCGTTCTGCTCTGCGATGCACTGGTCCAGCGACTTCGACGAAGCCGAGTTTTCATTCTGGTCAGTGCTGCGAGTGCGTCGGGCATTTGTCGAGCGTGGCGGCAGAAACGTTGGAGTCACCGGCGTGGATGTGTACCGACCGCGGACAGTATCGGAGAACTCGCTGAAGTAATCATCATCGGTCGAGTCCGTTGATTCGGAAGCAGAGGACTGCTGGCTTCGCAGTTGCTTCTGAAGCTCGGACTCGGGCATCATGTCCTTCGTGTCAATCACCTCATAGATACTGGAGCGTTCGTCGATGCGGTCGTCAATCCGGTCATCGTCGACCTCGCGGGGGGTTTCCAGCGATTGCACTGCTAGGAATGAGTTTCTTCCCAAGGAATACTCGGAGCTGAATGATGAGCGCACGGTGGGGGCTCCGCTGCAGTTGCGCGAGATGGTACTGAATCGACTTGATCCAGACTTCCAACTACACGTGTCAGACTCATTTTCCGACCACCAGGAAGCTCGGTTTTCTTCATTCCAGGTCGCACTGCGACGAGGTGCGTCGGTCTGCTGGGAAAGAGAACTACGCGCCACCGAAGATGTCGGAGTAGAGCACTTGGAGCTCTGAGGCTGTGTTGACGAACCCATTGACGAACGATGCGGTACAGACGACTTAGACGATGCCACGGAGCGACGGGTAGCCTCAATCTGCTCCTGGGTAGTCTCCGCGTCTTCCTCGCGGGAACGGGTGACGCACACTTTGCAGTACAGTGACTGCACCACTCGGAAGGTGCGTTGATTGGTCACCGTGATGTAGTTACTGAAGGCGTTCTTCTCCTGTCGAATACCAGCACGTCGAACGAGACACTTTGAGCAAAACACATCGCCGCACATCTGACAGTGACGGCGTCTGTGACCAGCTCGGAAAGGCCGAGTGCAGCTCGTGCAGCCCTGTTGAACACTCGTGGGAACCCACGGCCGAATAGTGTCTCCCGCAGCAAAAGGCTCGCCTCCGACACGCGATTGCTCCACGCCAATAGTTGTGGCAATACGCTTGGCATCGGCTGAGAGCGACACCTCTTTCAGAGCTCGTAGAAGCTTTTTGCAGTATTTAGTGGAAGACGTGAGTCCCTTGTGATCACACTTGCTCAGCATGAACATCTGTGTCGCGTTCGGATACGCGTCAGACTCGCGCACAACCATGACGGTTGTAATCTTTTCGCGCTTTGTCTTTAGCTTGTGCGGCAGAGGTGGACACTCAGGGATGTCTACGGGCATGCGTACAATGACCGCGGCGTCGCGGCCCTGGTCGTCCTTTTTGAACAAAATGTATTCGAGAAAACATTCGTCACGCTTGCGCGTGAGCACTGAAGGCTGCATGCAGGTCCATTTGATACCGAGCGTCGCCTGCTTGTCCGACTTGTCCAAGTCGAGGTTGCACAGCACGACGGCATCCACCGCACAACCGAAGAAGAATTGGTTCCATGCAAAGAGCTGTTCAGACGTCTCCGACGAGAAGAAATCAACAAAACGGCGGAAATCGCCCGTGACCGTTCCAAACGTGCGTGTGATGGTAAGAGGACCTTGCTTGCGGCGGACCACCGACAAATCCGAGTCACGGGCAACGTTTTGCCAACGTCTTTCGTCCTCAAGACCAAAACCAGCGACCCGGTTCTCGTGGTCTCGACAGGACTCCATCGCTTTGGCAGCCAACTCTTCCACCTGCGTCTGATACTGCTGTACCTGGGCCAACGAGAGGCTCACCGGCGGGAAATAATCATCTGGCAGAGGAAACTGAAGCTTGCCAGCTCGGTACCTGCAGCAGTAAGATAACGTTAGCATCAAGTAACACGAACGGCACACGGTCTCGGCAATTGTTCCGCCGTTACAAACTTCAGACAGCTGTGATGGACTTACGATGAAGTAGTGGAGGTAACGGAGGCCGTGCGCGGCATTGAAGGCGACGACCTGCGGGGCATGGCGTCGATTGGAGAGTGCAACAAGAAGTGTGCGCTGAGCAGCGTTAAGAATCTTGCTCGGTTGTTCGGTCGCGGCGATTGAAGCCACCTTTGCCACTTCTGGTAAGGCGGACCGAACACACGACGAACAACTCAACACGATCCGGCAAGTGAGAAAATGTCGAAGGCTGCGGCAGTGGGCAAGTGAGCTCCATCCGATGAGGCCTGCGATACCAAGCCGGCCGTCGCGCAACGCAGTGGATTGATTTTTTCGCGATGACAAGTCAAACATGCCGCTAGGGAGGTTAGCTTGACCAGCATTGCTACCGCATTTTGTAAGGCATCCACGCGATCACTCCGCGCTGCGTACAAGCGAAAGCGGGTGGATATGCTGTTTGGTGGAGGCAGCCTCGTTCGATCGAATGATCGTGAGACTCAAGCGTCTCAGGCCGGAATTATAAACTCCAAAACTTGGTAAAAGGCACAGTTGGAGAGCAGGTTCCTGCAGTTGTGGAGCAGTTTGCAAAGCTATGTTGCAGCTAGAGAGCGGTTTTACAGGTTGAAACCTAATCACTGAAGCCGGTTCATTTGTTTTTTGTGTGGATCGGATCGCTCTCCGAAGATGCTGTCTCCGAATCCGAGTCCGACCTCCTTTGCTGCACTGGTGCAGTGCCAGTGGCCCTGCCAGTCCCGAGAACTTGTCAGCCACAGCATCCCTGTCGTGCTTATAGTACATGTATTAATATCAAAGAAGCCAAATGGCTCAAGCCATCAGGATCGCCGCCGCGAGCTTTGATGGTGGAAAACCGAGACCCGGAATCTTGAAGCTATTATTAATAATAGGCACCATAGCTGCTCTTTGGCGCCGTGCCGCACGTAATCGCAGCGACTCTGCCAGAGTCTTTGGCTGATAATCATTTGGCTGTGTTCAAATTGACCTTGTCAAAGTCCAACTCGGGCCTCAATCTCGACCTTGATCCAAAGGCTTCGGAAACAGTGAGAGCAAACAAATGTTCAACATTGACTTTGCTGTTAGAAAACGCCAACAGAGATAAGTTTATAATGCTTCTTGCAGACGGGGCTGCAGCTGTAGCTAGTCCTCGTAGAGTGTAACATCGGGGCGAGACTTGGTCGATTGGACACCACCGGAAGTACCGCACCCGCTGTTACCCAAGGTCCCGCTTCCTGGCTTCGAGCTGTTTTGCTGGCGCATTCCGCTGGCCGAGAGCATCATGCGGCGTAGCAGCTCCTCTTGCTCAGCAAGACACTGATCCAAAGACCGCGGTGACGTCTTGGAGCCGAGCGGCGACCAATTGGAGCCGTTGCCCAAGCTCGTCTTACCGCTATCATCTTGGTTTACAGCGTCCCCACTTCTCTTTGAGGAGGTAAGCGACGAGACTGGCACCATATCGATCGTATCGATAACCTCCGTCACCTCTTCTTCGATCAACTCGCTGGTAGTCATTCGTGGGTCTGCCAGAATTGTTACAGACTGATCGTCGATCACATCGAGTTTCGACACGAAAGACATTTTGCCGATACTTGAAGTGGTCGAAGAGATCGAGGTCGATCGCGGTGAGAACTGCAGCGACCGGGCGCTACTTCCCGTCTCGGAAAAAAAGGAGATGTGACCACCTTCGGATTCTGTCTCTGAAAAAATCGAGTGGCGGGGCTCGCCAAGATCCAAGTCTTCGTAGTCACAGTCGATCACTGATAGTTTACCGCTCGGCGCGGGTACCGGTACCAGCACGTTGTTACGAGACTCGCGCATCTTCGTCACGCACAGCACGCAAAACTTCGTCTTGACGATCTCGAACGTCCTGTTTGATCCCGTCGACGCGCTGTCAGCGTCTTCTTCCTTGGGGGCATCACGAATGATAGCGCACCGCCGGCAAATGAGGTCGCCGCACAGTCGACAGTGATGGCGACGGCGAGTTGGCCCGAACTTACGCGAACAAACACTGCAGCTTTTGCGCGATCTGGACTTGGCCCAGCTCTTTCGTTGCATCACTCCTTGCATCAAAATGCGTCGCGAGTCCACGAAGACCGCCATGTTCATAAGAATATTCATCATACGCTTGTAGTAGTTGGCCGTGACCGCCAGGCCGTTAAAGTTGTTTTCAGACAGCATAAAGAATTCAGTCACATTAGGCTCGCGATCAGCAGGTCTCGAGATCCAAACCGTGTTCAGTCGAATCCGTTTAGTCTTGAGCTTTTTGGGCAGCTCTGGACACTCAGGGATGTCGAGCGGGAGAGTGACACGGACGCCCACGTCGCGACCACGTAGATCCTTTGTGTAGTTTAAGTATTCCATGTAGCAGTTGTCACGCTTTTTAACGAGCGGCGACGGATTTAAACACGTCCACTTGATGCCCATATACAGACATTTCTTCTTGGACGCTACTGTGTGGATGTTCTTAAGCACCGCGGCGTCCGTGGCGTATCCGAACATGAACTGATTCCAAGCGAACAGCTCAGCTGACGTCTCAGCGTAGAAGAAGTCAATAAAGTGGCGGTAGTCGCCGTTAATGCGGCCAAAGATTCGTGCCTGACTGGCCGTTGGGCTGTCAGGTGTCTCCTTCTTGATCGTCGTGAGGCCTTCTACCTTACTGACGACACTCCACGGGGACCGGTAGACGGGGTACGTTCCTTTGGCCTCGTGCAGCTCGTACTCTGCCAACGCATTTTTAACAATCTCTTGCATCTGCGATTCATAGTTCGCGATCTCTTTTGGCGTGAGGTGGATCTCTGGGAAATAGTCATCGGGTAAAGGGAAGTGCCCACCGTTGTCGTGCATGGTTTCGCCGGGGTCACTACAACGAAAAAACGAATGTCAGTGACTTCAGTTGTAAATGTCGTCGTCTTCGTGTCCGACGTAGCATCGGTAGAGGATACGGAGCAAAGATCAAGTTTCGAGCGTACCGGCGTCCGGAGGAGTTCGAGTCTGATAGGGACGGCGTCGGCGTTGTCATATTCCGCCGAGGCATCGCGACTGAGCAAGTGAGCACGTCTCTTAGTGGTGGGGATCGAGACGCCTTCCTCTCACAATAGCGTCGATCCGAAGCCCTTGCTCGCTACCTCGCCAACTTGAGAGTGAGGGCTTGCTTGGCGTCACACACCGCCACATCTCTGGATTCAACGTGGTTCCCCCATCTGCCGTCACACTGCGCATTGATTTTGCGCCGCGGCGTTGCTGACATACCGTATTTGAGATCTCCTACTTCAGACCCAATATTTTTGAAGTTGTATTGTTGCAAAATACACAAGATCTGTAAACAAAACAATTTAGTTATCAAGTTCTTCTTCGGGAGCTACGAAGTTTTCTATGTCATGACGCGTATCCACAGCATGGCGCACTACGGGCACTTCTTCCAGCAACCGTCGTAGCAGCTCCCAATTAGGTTCACTCCACAACCGAAACTTGTAGGCGTATGAAATGGCAACGCGCTTGAACTTCTTGGGAGGCTTGCAAGTGCCAGAAATACGGATTCTCCTTTTTTTTTGCGTGAGGGTACGCACCATTGCGAATTTCTGGCAATGAGCTGGTGGATAGTTACAGTTTAGCATGTTTTTTGTACTCTGAATTAGGAGATGTGCGCTGCTCCATTCTCGATATGTGATTGGTTGGAGGGCAGTCTGAATTAGGAGATCACTCTGAAGTAGGAGATCTCAAATACGGTATGCAACTGTGGGACAATGCGATGAAGCGCCGCAGCGCGGCCGAATGTGAGTGCTCTGTCAGATGCTTCTCCTTATGCTCCAGCAGATTTGCATCACCTTGAAGCCCTTCGAGCCGATAGACGAGTCAGCGCGGCTACGGTATTGTAGTTATCGATCTGCCTGGTACATGTACATGTACCGGTAAGATACCCCAGTGTACAACAGCATTAATGCGGGACTTGACGCAGCGCTTTAGGCGTCGACGCCTTCAACGTCTTCTGAGTCTGAGGTGGTGGACTACAACAGTAGTGTCGGTACCGTACCCGTACTTGTTGCAGCTTTAACGGCGCGATTGTCGAAACGGAGGCGTAGTTTATCTAATACAGTTGAGTCCAACCTTTTTTGGTAGCCTCACGCTGCACTGCGGTTTGGTGCGCGATGTCCGCCATCTTGAGCGAGTTTACTTGGCCTTGTGTCTCTATATCCACCTGGAGGATGCCACCTGGCTGAGACGCGCCTCGCGGACTGCGAGCGCTACGAAGTGGCATACAACAGCCGTAACTCTGACATGGTCTCCGAGTAGAACGACGCAGCCTCGTTCTTTAATGACGAGCAAAACACTTGCGGCTGAGCCAATCTCTCCATTTTGCCAGCACAGCCAAGGTGATGTGCGCTCTGGCACTCACCCGTGCCGATGGCCGTTGCAGAGAGAGAGAGAGGTCGAACCCAGGTATCTATTCTTTGCGAGCCCCAGTCACATCGGCGAATGGTGACATCGCCTCAGGCGAGCAGTGGCAGTGTCTTTTTGTCATGGACGTGCTTCCTGTTCCTCCCCGCGCTGTCTATGAATGCGATTTGCAAGTGCCACAGTCAGCTATAAGCTGACAGCTTGAGCGTTCTCTCTTGTCGATGACACTTTCCATAGGCTCTGTAGATGGCGTCGGACTGACCTGCCGCCGCTCCTTTGAGGCGGACTCAACAATCGAATGCGTCAACTTAACCCCTATCAATAACTGGCCGAGCTGGAGTACACGTAAGGTGGCTACCAGTGGTAGGTAAACCACCGCAGTCGCCGTGAAACTTGCTTGTAGCCAGGAGCAGCTTCTAGATGTGCCTGTGGAAGCTCTTCCCGACATGTACGTGATCATCTCCATGAGATGCGTGAGAGTCACTGTCAAACTCGTCAAGATCAATGACAACTTCATTGACAAGTACGCTATGTGGGCCTTCTCTTTTATCGCCCACAATGGAGCTTTCGGACCAAGAAGAATTGGTCCGTGAGCGGTCGCTGCTGCATTAAGTCAACTCACTGCTCCTCACCAAGTGCTTGTTAGTCGAGGGACTTCGTGACTTGTGCTTCGGTGACGTGCTATACGAGTGGCAGTTGAGCATGGCTGTGGGACATTGCAGCTAATACCTGTTAAAGCACAACTCCACCGATGCAGACAATGGAATATCAGAGGGTGATGTCATAAATAATGACGAGATCGTAGGACGTCTCCGTCGCATCGCTCAGTTCGCTGCTACTAGCAGCCTGCTAGGAATGTCGAAGCCAGGATGAGGACGCCATGTACATCGTCAACGATTCGAGGTGTTTAGCCCGAGTGATGTCGGCTGAAAGTGACGCCATTTGCGCAGTTCTATCAGTCTTAAAGCGACTGAGTGGCTAGCGAATGCAACAATACCAGTCATCCGAGAGTGAAAAAATTCCCTTCGACGCTGTGAAGAAGAGAAAATGGATGACATGTGAGTTGTCCTTGCAGCGAAGACAATTACCTGACGAGTTCTCTTAATTAGAGAGGGAACCGAAACAAAACCTAAAAGGCTACGAGCGTCTCGATCACGAATTCGTGCGACTACTACAAAACGACCGGAAAGAAGGTGGTCGTGCGTGGTCAAGGATCAAACCTACGAATTAAGCAAAAAGGGAGCTAAGGGAAAGAATTGGTCATGCTTCCACAGCAGTACCCAGTACAACGATTACAACTGACAAGAAAAGTTGCTAAACCCCAAGCCAATGTGGCGAATGAAGACAAACAAGCAGCAGAATACCATTCTGTTGTTCGTATCGGTGACAACGTACTTGCAGTTCGTTAATATCAACAAAAATGCATGTATGAATCAATAGAGTTCACCTCAGTCCACTTGTTCTCTACTTCTGTCGCTGCTGCTTCCAGCGATAGACGGCGGGCATGCCGTTCTCCGCCGCCTTCACCTTCTTCTTCCTGCCTTTGGCCTGCACCTTGCGTTCCAAGTCCAGTTTGGCGCTCATTTGGCCAAGTTTATTGGCACGCGCGAGTCGGTCCCTCAGTTCTCTGTACATGGCATCCTTCTCAACCTGCATCTTGTATTTCTGCTTGGGATTCGCCGCCAAATCCGGCAGTTCCGCCGTCTCAAGGTCGCGCTTACGGATGCGATTGAACGCCCTGTCTACGAGCTCTGGCGCAGTGTCAAAGTGTTCTGCCACATCGAAACTGTCAACCTGTTCTTCGTCGTCCACAAAGACCGTGTGGTTGTTGTTCTTGGGCGCGTCCACAAAGTGCAGACCGCGGTTAAGCCTCTCGGCCTTGCGCAGATCCACGGCGCGCTTCATGTGCAGATAGGCCAAGTCCTGCGTCTTAAGCGTGCGTAGCGCCTCTGTTTCTACTGACTTGATGTGGTTATGCGTGGATACATGTACACCGCCTTCGGTTTTGGTCCCTCGCATACGGTGGTAGAATTCATCCGGGTTTCGCAGAGCTGCCTTGAGCTGCAACGTCTTAAGCCGCTTCTGCTTGCTGTTGTAGTCCCGTGCGCGCTTCACATAGTCCTTGTGCTTCTCTAGGAGACCGAGCTTTCGCCGCTCGCGAAGCTGCCCGCGTTCCTTGTGTTCACGCCGCTTAACAACATTGCGCAGCGACGACATCGCTGATCAAGGAATGAGCAATAAGGAATGGCTGGCAAGACGCCGAATTCAATATATTAGTATTGACACTTTTTACAGTTTTTTAAAATTTAGTTTAAGAACATGGCAATAGATTTCTATTGACAAAGCACGCGACAAACTCTTTTTAAATACGTACATGTATGTTTTTTTATTGATAAATAAAACATTTTCCTGGAAGTGTGATTAATTCGAGATTATGTGCGCTAACCAATAGTAGGTATCGATTCGATACAAATTTCAAATATGAAGGTTTTATTTTTCTACCAATTTGTATAAACTTCACAGGTTTCACTCCAAGTAAAGGTTTGGATAAACTTATAGAAACTTGGTGTACGAAAGAAAATATTGCTTACATTTACAAATGCTTGGAGATCTTTTTTTTTAAAGAAATTAACTTTTTTCAGTTTTTCTTACACGGCTAGATGTTGTGCTAGAATATCACTATTATCGTATTTGTAGATCTTAATAGCTACTAGCCGAGCGCCGCCGCGTAGCGGCGGTAGTTTAGGTTTAGCTCTACTTGCTTTGGCCTTGCCGCCTTCGCTTCGCTTCGGCGGGATAATTATTTCAAGAAATATGAACCCCTATGTACTTCACGAATTTTATAATTCTGGGTTTAATTTAGACCAGTCGCTACAAAATGCTGAGCTCCCAGTAAGCCGTGCAATTATTTCTACAAAATGCTAAGCCCCTAGATCATACTTACGATGCTTAAAAAAATTGTTTTACATGTAGTGATCTTGACACAGTCTCTTTTTTATTGTCGGCTATCACTGAATCACCTGCACTTCAAATAGCATGTCTACAAACGCCACACAATATATTTAGCTTAGCGTCGTGCTTGATATCATGGACCGTTCCTGAGCCGCTATGAAACTTAGCTCACATCAATGCAAAGGATATTATAGTAATGGCATGTCCTGTTTCCACTAAGTACACCCTTGTACTGCTTGTAATTAACTGAAGATTGATCACTTCTCATACTAAACTCTATGTGAGCTAGAAAATATTAAAATTGTAATATTTTAAAGCATGCAGCGTTCAATTTGTGCTGATTCAGAATAAGTCATTAGACACTCAATTCTGTGCCAGTATTGATTAAAGCAGTTGAATAATGTGTCGCAAGACGCCTTGTTGCTGTTGTTGTTGACGGTAGTGCTTTTTATTTGATAGTTTACCGATAATTTCAGAATGGTAAAACGTCATTTAGGCTCCAAGATTATTAACGTTTCTTAATGGGTCTACGTAGCCAGCTATAATTAACACCTCCCGTGTTTTGTTGTTGTCTTACGGCTCCATTTAAAATCGTATCCTACGCCCTTGTCGGCGACACGTCTGCCCGTTAAGTAGTATCGGATTTTGCTGTCTAAACAACTCTTAGAAAACAATGGCTTTCAGCAGTAGCGCATATGAATTCATTTTATTCAATCTTAAACTATCTATCATTATGGATCAAGTGACAACGTTTATTAGCTGCGTTGTTCGTACGGCCAGTTCTTACGACCAGCTTCTGTTGTACATGTACTACGATTTGGCAGCTCAGTCAGTTACCTCACTCTCAGATAAATTATTAATATTTCTACAACAAAACAGTTGTAGTTATTAAAGTCATTGTAACTTGCAGAAACTATTAAGTTCAGAGTATTACGTATATTATAGCATGGCCTCAAAAAACGCATTCCTACAGTACGCGTACGCTAAGCACCTTGCAGCTTATTATTAGGAAGCGTCTTCAGGGGCTTTTTCCTTTTAAGAATAAGTAGCTCTGTCTGTTTGGCACTAAAATATTAAATGCAACATATAGTAAATACTTCGTAATATTAAAACGATGGCGCCTTCGGATAATGGATAGCTGTGCAAATCTCCATATGTGCTCTGTGAACCACATGAATTTACCGATGTAAGCTACGTAATTCAGTTTTAACCAATCGAAGCCACCTTCGCTCTGCTCGGCAGCCAATGAGAAGGCTCAAAAATCTGAGCGTTTCGTGTGACGGACGGACGGACACCGTGCTAGCCTTGATACTTTAGGACTAGCCGTTCGCCGCCGCTACGCGGCGGAGTGGCATGGTTTGTTGGAGATGAGGTGGCCGGAACTTTATTGCTTCTTGGTGTCGCGTGTTTTGAGAGCGTGGCTCACCCCGTAGATCTTGGCATCGTGTATTTAACCACTTGCCTTTCCGTAGTCTCATTCGGCCCCGTATAATATCGTGGTTTGGAACGTTTCCGTTACCCCGTACTACAGATTGGATGTTGTTTTCTTCAATGGCCCATGCTCTTTCGTGCTCTTCCCGGCTTCGAGGTTCCTGCCCACCCATGGCCCACGCTGCTCAGCGGTTCTGTCCTCTCTCTTGTGGGTTCATGCGCGTTAGTACGGCCTTTTCGTAAATGCTAACTTTTCTCTGTTCTCAAACGTTTATGTGGGTTGCACTGGCTTCGTGGTAGATACTATTTCGTGACCGTTGGCCTTCCATCGTTGGTGCTCTAGCCGAAGTGTGCTATTCCGTGCTTTGGTGACTTCATGCAGTCGTGTTGTTCCGTCGCCCGTGTATCGTGCTCTCCAGGTGAGGTTCCATCGACTGCGGTATCACGCTATCGTGCAATCACGGTGTGGTAATGCTGTCTATGGTATTGTGGTCACGTAGTGTATCTGCGTTGTCCGTGTTATCGTGTTCTACAATGGCAACGTGCTCCACAGTGTGCAGTCGTGGTCACCCCAAGCGCCCACCTCCCCGTTTATTTCGTGGCTGGCCCGCCGCTCGTGCAATCTAGTTCTAATGTAGTACTGTCCTCCGTGGCTCGGTAAGCTCAGGTTTAACACTGGTATCGTTCTCCGCGGCACGGTGATTTTACGTCTATAGCTCTGCGGCTGCGTTCTCCCATGGCTTAGTGGCACAGCCCATGCTATCGTGCTAGCTTGTGGTGTCGCGGCTGGTCTGTCGTCCGTGTGATTGTTAGGTACCGTAGTATCGTGCTCCCTGACTTGGTGAGATCCGGTTCTACCCTGATAACGTGCTCTAATGCTCGATGACTTCCCGTTTTCGGATTCCCGCCGCTTCATGCGTGGTGCGGCGACCGTACTCCGTGCTCTTCCGTGGTGCTATGGGAGAGTTGCTGTCCATGCACTCTTACCGCTACGTGCGTACTCTTCCGTAGCCACCCTTTTTAGCATGCTGGGGTGTCTGTATATCTATTTTCCTTCCGTGGTCTGTACGCTCCCGTCATATTCTTGTCCCTCTGTCCTTTTCATAGCTGCGTGCACTTTCGTCTTTCACGCTACGCATAAAACTTCGTGGTTTGCATCGGCTAAGACTTCTATCGTTGTCCATGGCCTTCCGTGCTTCGTGTTGCTCTTTTATCCCATCGTCTACATAGTGTGGGTCGGTGTTCCTTCGCGTTTTGTGTTCTTGCTTAGCCTCCGCGCTAACGTAATCACAAACGCTGTTTCCATTTCGTTTGATGTACGCTACATATATTGTTGGAAAACTCGCACAATATCTTCAGGTCGCACACTACGTGCGCAAATACAAAGGAAGGTGACACTTTTTCCCGGAGGCAAGCCACAATAGTCGTATTTAAAGTTTTCACATTATTATTTACAGTAATATATTTGTTATTTATTATCAAACGTTGATATAGCAATTATGTGTACTACTACTACAAATAACTGCAAGTAAAAAAGGAATTGTATTTAAAATAGTACTACGCAAAACAGTATTGAAATTAAACTCATTAAAAAAGTACTACGAAGCCTAAAACATCATTATATATCCAATAAGTACTAAAGTTTCAATGAGGCCGAAATATAAGTCACCAGGGCCTACAAAAAAATGCAGCGGCTCCTACGACGATATTGTTAGTATGTGGCTCCATCGCGCCTATATTAATATATGTTTACTCAATGCGCGACACACAGAAGCGCACCTCTCATGAAGTTGACGGCCCACAGTTGAAAATGGGGCAAAATGAAATTTGAACCGGTTGCTGTTAAGTACGATGTGTAGACCACATATAATGTGTTTCACCACATATTGCAATTTTAGCGAATTGAGGGCCGCCTTCGCTGCGCTCGGCAGCCAGTAGAACGCGCGTATTAGCGTGAGTTTTTTTAACCCTAGCCGCGGACGGACTGACAGACAACACACTCCACTAGAGAGGTAAGACTAGCCGTTCGCCGCCGCTACGCGGCGGAGTGGCATGGTTTGTTGGAGATGAGGTGGCCGCAACTTTAGTGCTTCTTCGTGTCGCGTGTTTTGTGGGCGTCGTTGAACCTAGTACGTCGTGGCTTCGTGTAGTCACCCACTTAATTGTCCGTAATCTCATGTGGCTTTGTACAATATCGTGGTTTGATACGTTTCCGTTACCCCGTACTACAGGTTGAATGTCGTGTTCTTCAATGGCCTGTGCTCTTCCGTGTTCTTCTTGGTTTCGTGGCTCTCTATTCACCCGTGGTCCACGCTGTTTGTGGATATGCGCTCTCTTTTGAGCTCATCCACTTTAGTACGACCTCTTTCGTGGCTCCTAACTATTCCCTATCTCAAACATTTACGCGGGCTGTACCGCTGTCGTGATACATAGGCATTCGTGGCCGTTGGCCTCCCATCACCGGTACTCTAACCAAAGGGTGCTATTCCGTGCTTTGGTGCCTTCATGCAGTCGTGTGGTTCCGTCGCCCGTGCATCGTGATCTCCTGATGAAGTGTCATCGACCGCGGTATCACGCTATCGTGCAAATGCGGTGTGGTTATGCTGTCTATGGTATTGTGCTACGCAGTGTATCTGCGCTGTCCGTGTTATCGTGTTCTACTATGGCATCGTGCTCCACAGTGTGCAGTCGTGGTCTCCCCAAGCGCCCACCTCCCCGTTTATTTCGTGGCTGGTCCGCCGTCCGTGCAATCTAGTTCTAATGTAGTACTGTCCTCCGTGGCTCGGTAAGCTCAGGTTAAACACTGGTATCGTTCTCCGCGGCGCTGTGATTTT